ATTATGACTTCGGTATATAACCGCTGTTCGAACTGCAAATTCTCCGCCATGTATACGATAGGATTTGTACTTACCTAGTACGGAGAGTAGTACAACTTAGCGGAATACCGGTGCACAGAAATCTTGTTGCCAGACGGGACAAATACGCGGCCCAGGCAGAGATATTGACGTCTCGGGGTGGTACACTCTGGAAAATAGCCTAATGATCGTATTGTGACTGGCCTGGCTTGTCACAAAACATCTCCGATCCGCAGCACGCTCGCGGCTTTATTTATCGTCTCGAGGACGTCTAACTACCGTGTAACGGGCTAAACGTTAACGAGGATGCAGATGCATTTATATGGGAATGCGACCGGTAACGTTTTTATAAAAAGATTATGCTTGCGATGGACTATTTATCTCGTTAAGGTTGGTCAATTTTTTTGGGATATGATTCACTCATTTCACTTTGTGATACGACAATTTCTTCCTCAACTATTTCTAACAAAACTGTGATGTATCATTGTGGTTCGAGTAGAATCTTTTGGTCGAGTCTTTGGTTTTTAACCTTTCCGTTATGTAGGAATTGGATGTTAGTGTATTAGTCAAATTTCTAAATGTAAAAATATAAAAGTTTTTAATTCTTTTCAAATTTGTAAAGTCCCACATCTTGCCACTGCCATCTTCTATGTTGTGTAATTTCATCAATGAGCACTTGACCTGCCCATTACTGTTCTACATAGATCGTGGTCGATCATATATGTTGTGGTCGATACCACATGTTAATACAATTCTGCAAAGAGAGGTAAAGAGTAAAAATCGGTATGTTGCTTTTACGATTTTAATGTCGTAACCCTGCCAAATACAATAATAATAGTAATAGTAGCAATTATAATAAGAATCGTATTAATGATAATGATAATAGGATTATCTAAAATATGTAACCATCATTTCGATAATAAGATTATCGAGAGGCGCGATATTGTACCGTATAGGACGAACGTGACGCGTCGCGTGTGTATGCTTCGCGACTTTCGACAATAATTAATTTATTAAACGTACACGACCGTGTCGCGGATCGCCTTTACGATACAACAATTTTACTTCCACGGTTAGGAATCGCCAAGTACAATATTAAATATCCGCTCAACCATACCGTCGCAAAACGTGATTGAATTTTTAGGACTTTCTCGCGACGAGACGCGCCTCTTCGAGACGCGATCTCGCGTCGATAACGTTGTATAAATATATATAATATATATATATATATATAGAATTTCGTGCACGTTAATATATTTCGCTATTATTTCATAATTAATTTCCTCATCTTCCGCGGTATACAATAATTACACGCTGTTCGTTTCGGTTCACATCGCAATAAATAAATTATCCAAATCAAGGACATCGATATATCGACATAACAGTAATAAGATTACAACCACATTTACAATATATATTCTATATTTATCTATATATAATATATAGATAGATTTTTTATTTTTCTATGTACAGGCTGTTTCATTTTAATCGGTCCACGCTGTTACTTCGACAATTATTCGTTATTTGGAAGAATGGTTTAAACACACTTTCTTTCGAGGTAGACATTTTATTGTGGACATAAATTTTATCTAGCCTCAGAAGTTTGATGATATTTGTTTTAATGAAGTATTAATATGTATCGAGTGCACAGAATTTGAAACATTTTTCAGATTATTAATCTTGTACATTAACATATGTTAAATGTTCATGTATAAATAAGTGCATTTTTATTTCTTTTTGATAGTGACATGAAATACATTTTACAGAACATGTTAAATAAAAAATTTCTTCGACTAACGAATAATCTGCAAAGTACTTGTATGTATTGAAAATGAAACATCCTGTACATACAATATAATATATATATATATATTTAATTTTCCTTTTTAATGCACTAACAAAAACTCCCCTGCCGACGTGCGCGACACGAAATAGCGGCCGTCCTCAAGCGACGCGATTAATGTAATTAATTAGAAAGTACAAAGTTGTAATAATGCCTTCGTTTATACAGTGAGTCGTAGTTATAATATATTATATTACCGGTCGTACGCGGTACTACGCGACATGTACAATTCTATCCTTATTAAATAATAGTTGGCGGCGCGCGACTCGAAAGCTCGTCCCTTTCCCTGATGCACTCGTTTAAACGCACGTTTCGTCCAATGAAAACACGCCCTGTCAACATCAGCCGCGAACACAATTTTTCGGCCGCATCTCGTGTTCCCATTCGACGCGACGTGTTTTACACCTGTTCTGTAGGAACCTGAAAGCGAAGTTACAAATTGCTTGTGGCACACAAGAAGACACCTGCATTGTCAGAGGAGCAGGGGGGACCGTTTGTCATACCCAGGCTTGAACCAGGGGGATTTACATGGATCTCAAGTAGAAGAAAAAAAAAGAAAAAGAAAATTGTGAGGTGATGGGTCCTTGTAGACGCGCGGAATTATGACAGATGGAGGTGCGTAGAATTACCACGCGTGGAATTATGGCGCGTGGAGTTACCATGAGTGGAATTACGATGCATGGAGTTACGGTTCGTAGAATTACCACGCGTGGAATTACGACGCGTTGAGGTACCACGCGTGGAATTACGACACGTTGAGGTACCACGCGTGGAATTACGACACGTTGAGGTACCACGCGTGGAATTATGGTGCGTTGGGGTATCACGCGTGGAATTACGACGCGTAGAATTACCATGCGTGGAATTACGACGCGTTGAGGTACCACGCGTGGAATTACGGCGCATTGAAGTACCACGCGTGGAATTACGACGCGTAGAATTACCATACATGGAATTACGACGCGTTGAGGTACCACGCGTGGAATTACGGCGCGTTGAAGTACCACGCGTGGAATTACGACGCGTAGAATTACCATGCGTGGAATTACAACACGTTGAGGTACCACGCGTGGAATTACGGCGCATTGAAGTACCACGCGTGGAATTACGACGCGTAGAATTACAAGGTGTGGAATTACAACGCGTAGAATTACCACGCGTGGAATTACAACGCGTGGAGTCACCATGAGTGGAATTACGACGCGTAGAATTACCACGAGTGGAATTACGACGCGTAGAGTCACCATGAGTGGAATAGCGACGCGTGGAGTTAGAATGCGTAAAATTACCTTGAGTGGAATTACGACGCGTAGAATATTACCACGCACAGAAATACCAAGCGTGGAATTACAACGCATAGAAGTACCATGCGTCCTTGTAAAATTACAGCTCGAGTTTTCAATTTCTCCTCCCAGCTCATTTGCACTCCCTTCACTCATCGATACGTGTGCTTAATCCCTTTCTCTGTTCATACGAGCGAAACGAGGTACTTCCCTGATCCGTATTTTCGCTCAGGTGACTTCTTGCGTGCCGCGAACGGTACTCGACGAACTTCGACGCTCGTTGCAACTCGCGACGACGAAATGTTTGACGGAAATTGGACCGGGTTTTAATTCGACGAAGAAAGGGTGCGTCGCGCGCCTCGCATTGTATAAATCCGTGCGAGATCCGAGAGAGAATTACTGGCCCCCATTGATTACATTATTGCGAGACAATTATGCTACGCTGATCCGTTGCTTTTTCTCGTCAACGATGATCAACGAATAATTTTACATACTATGTACAGTAGCTTTATTGCTCCACTAGTGTCTATATCTTACGAACTAGTAGGTTCCGTTTTTTTATATTTTATTTTTCTTCACTGTCTTCACGAGAATTTCTTTCGTGTCTGAGTCGATAATCACCGGTCTGTTTGGTTCACGTGGTCTTTCGCGTTGCAGGAGATTCTTGGACCACGTAAAACACTTCTTTCTTTGCTTGCATTATTTTCAAATAACGTCGTTTGTTAAGTAACTAAGAAAATTAACGTCCAAGTGGAACTCTGATCGCGTATATTTTTATTCGAATATTGCATCACGTTTATTGCATGGTCCACCGTCTGACGCAAACACCTTGCACACATTTCGCAACAAATTTTGCGCGCGTGCGTTATGGACCTTCAAGAATCGACTTCGTGTATTGTCCACGTTGATGTACACCTCGATGCAAAGTAGACTTTAATTATAAATAAGAATAGAGGGTAGCAGGTATACCTTTCGACAAATGGAAATAAGGCCTGCAAATACTATTTTTTGTTAAATATAAATATTTAATGAATATATAATGAATAATTTGATAGTGGCAATGTTCAGAAATTTAAGTTTGGTACCTATAGTTTTATTTCCGTTCTTCGTTTGCTTTCAAATTTGGAGAAAAATTACAGACTTTAGTGTGGTTACAAGACGGGGATTTATAACGCATGGAACTATGAGATTTCGAATTTGGAATTAACCATGTGTGGTGTTACTATGTGTGGAATTACCATGTGTGGAGTAACGGCATGTAAAATGCGACGTGTGGAATTTTTACACATATGGAATTACTACGCGTGGAATTACAAGAGATGGAGTTATGACGCATAGAATAACCACGCGTGGAATTACGACACGTGGAGTTACCACGCGTAGCATTACGGAACGTAGATTATGGTGCGTGGGATTACGACAGATGGAGTTACGACGCGTGGAATTACCACGCGTGGAATTACGACACGTGGAATTACCACGTGTGGAATTCCGACGCGTAGAATTACCACACGTGGAATTACGATACGTGGAGTTACCACGCGTGGAATTCCGACGCGTAGAATTACCACGCTTTGAAATACTACGCGCTGAATTACCATGCGTGGAATTACGACACGTGGAGTTACCACGCGTGGTATTCCGACGCGTAGAATTACCACTCTTTGAAATACTATACGTTGAATTACCATGCGTGGAATTACGACACGTGGAGTTACCACGCGTAGAGCTACCACGCGTGGAATTACGATACGTGGAGTTACCACACGTGATATTCCAAAGCGTAGAATTACCACGCTTTGAAATATTACGCGTTGAATTACCATGCGTGGAATTACAATGCGTGGAATTACCATGCGTGGAATCACCATGCGTGGAATTACGACACGTGGAGTTACCACGCGTAGAACTACCACGCGTAGAAATACAAAGCATGCAATCACAGCACACAAAATCACCACATATAGAATTCTCACATGTATCATTCACACCACGTGGAATTACAACATATATAAATAACACGTAGCAATAAACATCTGGTGATACATATCTACCCTAAATGTCCTTAAAAGGAAAGCAAACTATAAAAAACTCGTCCCTCAACTCATATATTATACAAAACCTACAATGCATTTAAGTGTACATGTACACACGTTGAATTAAACGTGCGAAAGCACCAAGAAAGATTGAGCACCGCGCGTGATCGCAGATTAAAAGTGTAATTTAGTTGTGGTTTGCGTGATTAGGTATAAGTGTGAGTGACTCGTGCATAAATGTATGTATGTATGTGTGTTTGTATCTTTACTGGCCCTTTAAGCGAAGAATCATCGCTATTTACATAAACTGTCACATCAGCTTTGTTTCCGATAAGTTCGACCCACCGTTTTATTAGTTTTTCGTTTATTTAAGAGTAAAATTCTTTTTTACGAAGGAAATCAAGGATAGTCGATAGCGAGTTCAGGCACGACACTCTATGACACGATTAACAATCCAATTTTAGAATTTAAGGAATTTTCAATTTTGACGATTTGGGAATTTTTAGTTGTTGAAAGGAATTTTGGGAATTTCGGAGATTATCTGGTGATTCTAAAAACTTTGGTACTTTAAGGAATCTAGGAATTTAAGAAATTTTGAAAATGGGGCGAATCTGGGAATTTGGGAAAATTGAAGGATCTGGGAAATTAGAAAAATCCAAATTTGTTACTTGGATACCTGGCAATGTGAAAATTTCTCAATTTAAAAACCTGAAAATACATAACCCATAACTTTAAATCCAAAAAATTCCAAAACTCTTCGAAACATTTAAAATTGAAAGAATTTCTAACAAAAATAATTTCCAAATACCTTACATCCATACAGAATAACATTTCCTCTAAGGAAGCCTACAATACACCGATTCTCTAATAACAAATTTTCCAGCGATATACCACAACCCTAAACGTTGCCCTAAATATGAAACCACAATCGATCCCCAACAAAAATTAAAAAGCTGCAAACACAGCGTGCTATTTTCCAAAGAGAAACATACGATTCATCGATTATCCTGCATGCAAATATCGCAGCAACCTATTTGTCTCATCTCGTTCTTGTTTCCAGCTGTCATCTTGTCCGAAGTGTGCCGACCAAGTGTCTGATGCTCGGACGAAAGCGTCCATTCTATCGTAAAAGGTGATTTCGATCCGAATACGCAACCTCGATTAGTTGCTTGTCAGTTGACGTCCGTTAAGGCACTTGAAATGCTAATTTTCCTAGGTGGGGCCTTCATAGAAAATCGGTCGCGTTCGGCTCGAGCCCCTTTACACGCGTGCTTTCCTGTTTCCTCGACGGTTAGCCTTCTACGGAAAATTGAATGGGTTCGCATTAACATGAGATACAAATTGTCCACGCGCTTTGTCCAACTTTTCGCCACGGTATTTCCAACTACAACGTCTATGCACGTGGAATGTTCCTCCTATGTTAGTCTCGAGAAACGTCGATGGATCGTCGTGTACACCCGGAAAAACCATCGATGACAATAAGTACCAGATTTTTCACTCACGATGGGTTCAAAGCTTTGCACTCGAGGATTTCTTCGTTCGGACTGAAAATGATTTTCTGTATTCTCAATTTGTCACTGCTAACTTAACATGATTTCACATACAAGTTAACATATGGTACATCGGAAGGAAGAAACTTAAGCTTCATATTTTTTTTATTTGTTTTTTTATGTTTTTCGCTGGGAGCAAATCTTGCAATCCTTTCATTTCGTTAGAATAACACATAGTTCCATTTAGTCGAATTTCATTGAAACTGGAGATGGTGGTAAAAGCTCGAATCTGATGAAAATTTCTAGATTGATCAATGAAAGCTTTCACGTACTGTTAAAACCAAATTTCTACAAAAATTTTCAAATATTCCTATTGGCACGACTATTCAGTTCAGAATAAAATGGTGACTATTACCACCACACCTCTCGAGTGCAAAGGGTCAATTTCCCCAATCAATGCTCGATCGAGGATGTTCTCTGAGAATCTTCAAAAGTCCAAGCAGAAACGTGCAAGTTACCGGAAATATAAGAAAGTGGAAATGTAATTCCACGCAAGAATGATGGAAGTTTTATCGCCGCGTCGACAATTAACCGAAATGAATCGTCCCGAGGTGGAGGTAACGCCGTTGGGATGCATCGTCTCGAGGTGCACGACTCGGCACGAGCTCGGCACGGTGAAGAAAAAAAAATGATAATGATCAAAGAGGGTGTCGGCATGACGTCAGTATACATTTCTCATCGCCCGCGCTGCGCTCAGATTACTGACGGCTGCTCCGGCCGAAGAAATTCCCTACAGGAAAGGTACAACGGTATCAGTCATCAAGATCGTAGAATGGCATCCTGGGTGGCACCTCGTCCATTTTCGGATTGAATTTCGCAGTGACGATCATACGAAAATCATTCATACGTTCCTGGGGGTGCGGTCTGTTTTGCGCGCCTCTCGGAATATCGCCGTTTGACGCCTGCCAAATTAGGACGATCGGTTAAGTCGACTCTTTTTACATTGACAAATCGGAGAAATCGTTCTGAGAAAATAGCGATAGATAGAAATTGTTATGATAGACAGACTCGATAACGGATACAAATTATAGTGATGTGATGGTAGCAGATAGAAGTTATGATACATGCAAATGATTATACCGGGAAGAAATTGCAATGATGGATAAAACCGATAACAGATAGAAATTGTAATGACACATAAATAGCTAATAACAAGTAGACGTTGTAATGATGAATAAAATAGTTAATAACAGAAAGTAATTATAGTGTTAGATAAATGATAACGGATAGAAATTATAATGTCCGATAAAATAATATCAGAAATTATAATGGTAGATAAAAATTGAAGATATAGAAATGGATCTTCCATCTCCTACAAGCCCATTAAAGAATCAGTTTGGAAATTGAACAGCTAAGGAAGAAACGTTTCCGTAAATTCGAATGAAAGGACGTTAAAAGGTGGAAAGTAACGAAGAATCTCGTGTACACTCGATTTCCACGAGTCTCGAGCAACTAATAAAGCAACAGCTTGATATCTCACTGGTCCTCCGGGCGAGGATTCGAATGGTCGCGTTATGAAATGAGTACAAGCACGAAGATTCGCGTGACTTAAGGCACTAGCAGTATACTTAAGGCCTAACGCAGCATACTTCTTCCTTAACGTTAAAAGGCACTATTCCCTATCGAGATACAACATGTAACAAGTATTCATTTATCGATCATCGGCGTTAATCTTACACGTAGAGGTTCCTTTCTTCTTTAACGAATATAAACTGGCTCTAGCATATACTGGCATCTTAGTTCCATCGACTTTAACTAGTTTCGAAATACGCTAACCGCTCGATAATTACCCGCCACTGTGCGCAGCTGGAACGAAGTCTGACGGCAAAATGACATTGTTCACATCGACTGAATCTTTCGGGTTGAGCGTGTTGGCAGAAGTGACCGTATTGATAAATGACATTTAATACGAGTCATATCTACACGTTCGTAGAAAAGTGAGCTCACAATTTGACCAGTGGAATATAAGACGTCTTTCCAGCCGTGAACAGTGATCTCCCGTTAGGAACGCCCCTTGTTCACACGCGTACACCCACTCTGTTGTCCACGTCAGCGATGGGCAGATCTAGTGCCCGGAGAGCTTGCGGCCACTGACGTGCACCGTACTGCAACGAAGTGAACGTTGAACCTTCGTTGACAATCAAACAAACGTCCACTATGACAATTAAACGAATATAATTGCTTAGTGCCCGTGAGTGCTCGCTGCTCACATGTAGGCTTATCACGCCATCGGCGTTGCCCATCGCTGACCTAGATATTCGATAAATAGTTGTATCTCGTAAACAAACGATCTGTTTATATATGTTCTCATCTGTCTAGCCCCGAACGTAGGAAATTATCGAGCGATTATTGTAGTCTCTGTTCTTTCGGCTACCTTCGATCGCGTAGCTCGCAAGGTGACAAGAGAAAAGAAAACGGGGGAATGTGCTACACACGTGCTTTATACGGAGACGTCGTGTCACTCCAAGGTTTTTAAATTATTTACAAGCTCGTCCGATATTCATGCGACGCGTTCTGCTGAAAGACCAAGGAAACTCGATTCGTAACTGTTTGCAAGATAAATTAATGAAAACGGTGTTCCTGTTTTATTTATTGAATGTTTTATTATAGTGCTTAGATCAAGTGTTCGATTGTGATGTGTGTATAGTGTGGGAGAGAAAATGATACTGAAATTAGCACTTTAGCTGTGGAAAGTAAGGTATAGCAATTGTAGATTGTTCTACTAGGCTCTCGTTATATTGCCATAATTAATAATGAAATTGTTTTTCCAAATTTGGAAAACTACTCGTTTCCAAAGTTACGAATCTTCAAAATCAATGCTTGCAAGCTTTCTAGTTTTGAAATTGTTGAATGTACAAATTATACCTTTCAATTTATAACTTTTAATAATTCCAAAATTGCAAATTCATAAATTTACAAATTTTCAAAATGAAAAATTTGAAACATTTCAAACGCTCGAATCTACAATGTTTTAAACGCTACATGAAAATATCTGCCTATATTGCCAATTGCAACAACTTCGTATTTTTATAACTCCACCTGTGACAATATAACAAGATCTCTAATATCTACTTATGGTACCTTACAAACAGTTCCGACGAGTTAACACGCATCGCGCCACGGTATCCTCATTTTATTAGACTCGGCGCAGAGTCTTCGTTCGATTTCGATATGTTTCCAATAGCTCTAATTTAATCTACGTAAATCGGCGACGATCGAACGATCGATGCATCAACGATACGAAAATTTTTTTTTATCTACACTTTGAAAACCACGAGGAACGTTCTACGATTCACTCTCGTTGGCAGTTCGAAGGAAAAAGTTGTTTTTCCCATCGAAGGCGAACTATATCTCGCAGATGCCAAAATAAAATGTGCAGAAATCGAGCTCGAAATGTTGTTCCGTTGTTCAGCGAGAACATTCGATGCGCGACACGATTCGGCGAGTGGTGCAAAAGCGTTTAAAAAATAATTCTTCGATCTACTTTCTTCATCCTCTTCCCGTGTTTGAGCGTAATGGACACCTTATTTGCACCTTCTACTTTGGCACCTTGTGTTTCTTTTGCGTGTGTATGCGTGTACGTGTACGAGTGTTGTTTCCAAGTATGTACCTCTCTTGAACAGGTACGATCGAAGAATGTTTGCGATCGAACGAAGAAAAGATCGAAAAAGTAAGAACGAAACGAAGCATCGCAATACCGTCGATAATAACATACACGTTTAATATATTGCTTTATGCACACACGTAATACTGGCTTTCAGAGCATCTGATTCCCTGGTTTTCTTTGACAATGAAAACGTCAATGATTGTCCTTCCCTAAACGCGAAATTCTTTGTGCATAATCGGATAAAATTGCTATACTTTAACGCGTTACAAAAAAACTTGTTCAACGATCACGATTTTTGTAGTTTATTTAACTGAGCATGCTAAGTCCCAAGCTCCGTTTATCGGAGTTCGATTATTCTCTTTAATTATTACTCGTTTAATTACCTTAAAGATATTTACTTCTCTTCACCCATTTACTGGCTCTATTTCTTCGCGATAGACGATACAATATGGTGCTCTAGACTAGTTGAGCTGGCCTTATTTAATCATACGGAAAAGAAAAAAAAGGATGAAAACAAACTACGAATACGAACAAGTAAAAATTGGCTATAAATAAAAAAAAGAAAAAGAAAGAAGAAAAACAGTCACGCTGAACCTGCAGCAATCGTTGTCCTCGACCAGACCCGCCATTTTCCTTTTCTTCCTCTTACATCGAAGCTACGCTTCCGTGATGTTTATCACAAATTGCACCAATTCAACAACAAAATAAATAATTTCCCGTGAAAAAAGTCTCAACAATTCTTACGCTCTATCTACCGCGGTTCGATGAACCTGTTTACTTACAAGTAGAAATATCAACAACGTGAACTTCGTCTCTCGACTGCTGACAGGTTCGCCAACTGATCATCCACCAATAATTACAAAATGATATTCTCATTAGATCTCTAAACCTAATGAACAATTTGTTTGCTTCTTCATTTTTTCTCCTAGTATCCACCTTCGACTCGGTTCGATTCCGTCGAATCGATTCGTGTCTCGAAGGCTCTTCAGGTCCCGAATGTAAAAAAGAAAAAAAAGAATCATCGTTCGTCGTCTACGATCACGACTCGAGTCCCGATTCTTCGGAACAACGGTTCTCCTTTCTTCTTTTCCTTCATCTTCTTCTCCATTCAATCCCCCCGCTTCTAGCTAGACGCTCCTCTTTATCAGTGCCTTTTCATGTGAAGCGACAAATGATCGCTCCGTGAAAACGATCGCTGACAAAGATGGCACTTGAACGGTTTCTGGCCTGTGTGCTTGCGGTAATGTCGCGTCAGCTCGTCGGAACGCGCGAATTTCCACGTGCAACCCTCCCACGTGCACTGGTACGGTTTTTCACCTGAAACAAACATACAAACATTTGACTCTCAACAAATTCTTTCATTTTTAAATTACCACAATCTTTTATTTAAAGCTGAGGAATTTTGGAGCTGAGGGTAATTTGGAAATATTGAAATTCGAGAGTTGTTTGAATATTTTGAACTTCCATACTTCTATATTCCTGAATAACTAAATCCTATAAATTTGATATATCCAAATTTCTAAATTTAATACTTTATCATCTCCTTGGACTATGGATGCACCGTGTGCATAATCTCTTCAACTAAGATTTAGTACCCCATTCTGGATTTAGGCTAACATTACTGAGCAGGAATCGTAGAATTCTAATATTCATCACGCTGGCAGACGGTGCAATACCGTAATTGTCCGCCATGAGACTACAAACCCGGAGATTTTCTATAATTATACCCTGCCGATCTCAATTCCCATGATCTTATGAACCAGTAAGTACATTGTTTTTAATTGCCGCAGTTTTGTAAGAAAGAAACCGAGTAACCTGTAATTCAGTGTACGCAGTAACGGAGGTATAAATAAATTCTCGATCAAGCGAGATTACCCGGACAAGTTTGTTCTGTGTTTACTGAAAATTATTGCTTTGCGTAGGCTCGAAACACACAGTTTCGACGTAAGATATCTAAATCGATCGTTTGTACGTTTCGACGCCCATCGGCTGGATATTATTATGTAATTCAGCGGGAATACGAGGAACTAATGACCGAGAAAAAAAGCTGTGCACTCGGCCGTTGCATAATTGCGAGTAATTAGTCCGTTTACGAGCGACACGAACACGTACGTGAGTGCACGTGCATGTGCATGCAATATCGGGCAATGTGCACGGTGCACGCCGCGAACGCGGCACAACAGGGCATTAATTCTCCTGTTATTAATGCATTTTGATTGGATTTTTACGTAGCGGCGTTACGTTTATTGCACCATAGATTAACGCCGCGTTACACCGTCCGGCTCCATTAATTAACCGCAACAGCGAGCTTAGCCGCTCATTTGTAACGTCACTCTGATGTCGCGGTGCATATTAATCCCACGTTATATTAAGCCAACGGGATACTCGTCGATCTTGCTTTCTTTTATCTTTGTCTTCGAGAACGTTTCTTCGCCGGCTAATGGACGGGAGAGCCCACTGTGGGACCTTCGAACTTTTCGACTATCTAGCAATCTCTGGGACTCAGACTTGCCGAGTCCCGACATTGGAACTTGCAACATTGCGACGTTGGAACTTAAGATTTTTGCAATTTTCGAATTGTGGAATTCTGGAATTCTGGAATTTTGGAAATTTAGAAGTTTGAAAAATTCAGTGTAGAGCCTTGAGAGCTTAGAACTTTGGAATGTTGAGATATTGTAGAGACATGGAACTTTAGAATCTTAGACTTCACACAATTCACAAATTTTCCATTTCTTCACTTTTCCATTTCTATATTTTAATTTTCCAATTTCTCATAATTAGTTAGTTGAAGTAATCAGTTAAGACCGTCAGAATATTAAAAGTCACAAGACAAAATATATTTGTTTTTACTATCTTACATTGAAGTATAAAAGTGTAATTAGTGGCATGAAATCAGAATTTGATTAAACACACCGTGAAATCTTGTAGAAAGTACAGGTACTTAATGACAAAAAAATGATAAATAATATGTTCTTGGAGGTTAATAATTCTTCATTTAATAAATACTGTTAATTTAGCCGACGATCCCTCGTCGGGCTTCGACTCTTTCCCACATTCATTACGGACTAGAACATTTCGTAATTCAATTTCATTCGCGTACACTAATTCTTAAGATATTTTACATAAATGAACGCAGCTATAAAATACCAATAAAAGTGAAAGAAGACTCGTCCCACTTTATGAGAATACTTCGTTCAACTGTTATTTATTCCCTAGAAAGACTTGCGAGTCGGACGTATTACCCTAGATATATTTAGAGTTCTAATCGGAACTGCGAAATGGTTAACAAGCTTAGTTTAGCGGTGCCATTTTTAGAATTTTATACTATGAAATTTAACTTGTGGACAGTATATTTTATGTGGAAGATACAAATTGCATACGCAATAAATCTAAGTATTTTATCTTATATTTCCAAATTTCTAAATCCACATATTGATACATCTCCACATGTGTAAAAGCTATATTCTTAAATTCAGTACTCTCAAATCCTTACACTGATGAATTCCCACATTTCCAACGTCCACATTTGCAACATTCCTCATTTTCAACATTCCCCATTCTCAAATTGTATACTCTGAAATTTCACATTCTCGAGTCCCAATATTCACAATTTCGACATCTCCACATTCCGCATTCCCAAGTTTCAGATTGCAAACTAAAGCATCATTTGCACAAAGTATCATTTGTACAAATACATCATTTGTAAAGTACATTTGTACAAATTCTTAAGTCTGATGCACAACTACAATTGTACATCTAATAAACATTTATTCATAACATTAACTACCAACATTTTCGAAGGATATTCAAGTTGGCGAAGAATTTGTGTTCCGAATAATTACGTTAGAAAAGTGTAGCTGCTTATTGCCGCAGTCCGTGCAATTTTCTGTCCCCGACGCTGACAATTATCGCGTCAAGCACGTCGGCGAGAAGGTTGGCAGCTCGTATGACGAAGCGTGTCGGTGGCGAGCATCGAGCTGACAAGCGACTCGAGGGAAAAAAGATGGAAACAAAGGGAAGAAAAGAGGAAAGAACGAAACTCCCGGCTGTTACACGCCGCCAGAAGCTGTCCACTCTGCGTGGCGTCTGCCTAATGCGCCCTCAAGCTACTCCCGCGGTGTACGGCTTCTTGTAAATAACAACACTCGTTAGCGGCAAGAAATACTGCGCCGATGTAATAACCAGCGAATGCGAGATTCAATTTAATAGTGATCATTACGAACCATTAATTATTTACGCCAGTACTGGGGTTTAATAAAATGTAACAGCGGAATGATGTTACTAAGGCGATAAGGCAGAGGATTCTGTTGCACTTTTATTATAACGATGGGTAGATAGAAATTATCGCGAGCGATAGGGTGCAGCGATAAGAGAAGGACTTTTGAAAATTTCGCGGTGTAGATATGTAGATGTACATTGAGGTTTCAAGTTTGTGGATTTGTGACAATTTTGGAATTCTTATAGGGATTTGGAAATTTGAAAACTTTTTGATGTGCAGAAATATTATACTGTCAGTACTGTTATTAGCTGAAATTTTTAAGTTTGTTAAATCTCATTTCCACAGGCCCCAATTCCACATTCCCCAAATCCACATTCCCCAATTCCATATTCCCCAATTCCACATTCTCTAATTCTACATTCCCCAATTCCACATTCACCGATTCCCACATTCTCCAATTCTCACAATCCCCAATTTCTACAGTCCCCAATTCTACATTCACCGATTCCCACATTCTCCAATTCTTACAATCCCCAATTTCTACAGTCCCCAATTCCACATTTCCCAATTCCCACATTCTCCGATTCTCACAATCCCCAATTCCACATTCCCCAATTCTCACATTCTCCAATTCTCACAATCCCCAATTTCCACAGTCCCCAATTCCACATTCCCCAAATCCACATTCCCCAATTTCTACAGTCCCCAATTCCACAGTCCCCAATTCCACATTCCCCAATTCTCACATTCTCCAATTCTCACAATCCCCAATTTCTACAGTCCCCAATTCCACATTCCCCAATCCCACATTCCCCAATCCCACATTCCCCAATTCTACATCTCGAAACTCAAATTCCAGTTCCCAAAATTCCACATTCCCTTATCTTCCAAGTTTCTATACTGCACCAAATTCTAAAGTTCCATATGTCTCCATCTACATATACACCCTTACCCCTCTAAATTGAACAATAACCAAATGCTCAAATTTTTCTGTACCAAGTATCAAATTCCAAAATTTGGAAAGTTAATAAATCTACAAGTTTCTTTCCGTATAGTTCAGATTTGGCATGCAGCATACGTAACATATTCACGCATCGATCAGCAACGATTATATAGTTCGGAAAAATGCGATCGATTATCCAGGACGAACGAAACGTGCTACGATGGTGGTTGATCGGTGTCAAGATTCATGATCTCTGATTGAAGGTGCGCGAACACATCGATCAAACCGGTACGGTGTTAGCGGTTTCCACGAGATAAAACCGAGCGATGCGCACGTCGTCGTTCGTCGTCTCCCATTATCCGCGTGTACTCTCGCGGTTAATGGGATCGCGAGTCGCGTTCGATCGCAACGACCGATTTCCTCCGGGCTCGTCTTCGACTCGGTTGAACTTGATGGCGATTGCGTCATCGAGTTGTGACCAGGCTGTTTCTACATCTAGACAGCTCGACGACGGCTACGCTTTTAGCCCCTCGAACCCTTTTTACTCTCGTTTTCTTATCGTTTCTCTGTCTTTCTAGCGGCGTTACCGCTTCCATCTCGCGAGACGCTTCGCTCTCTTTCTTCGGGGAATCGTGCAGAACACCGGGCCCGAGAAATACGTCGGTGACTTGCATACAATAGGAGAGAGTGATGGGCAGTTTTCTGAGGGATCCAGAGTCGTTGGAACGCGCGACAGCTGTCACGACGTCCTTACGAAAGAGGGGCTCGCCTCGATAAGAGCCAAGAATAAACGCACGGACACACGCGCACTACGGGTAAACGCTCGGAAATTCTACTAGTATCGTGCTGCTTTATGATCATCGAAGTTCTGTTATCTTTCTATCGATTATCGTGCGAATTTCTATGCTGGTACTCTCACGTGCAATCTGACTTGTAAGGATATCGTTGTATGGACACCTAAACTTGCCCACTACCAAATTTTCATATTCGGAAATTTATTCAAAGTATCAATAATATTAAATTCATGTTATTCATAGTATTAAGATATCCCCCAGTTTTCGTGTATTTAAATTTCTAAACATTGAAATTCTCAAGTTTCGAAACATTATCATTATCAAATTTCAAAGTTCTACAATTTCCATGTTTGCAGATTTC